TGATGTAGCACTTGCACGTCATCAAATTTCCCCACAATTTATTGGATAATAATTACCTTCCATTGGGATTATGCACAATGGTTTGTGGATAGATTTCGCAACTTCCCATGTCCTTGACGGCCAAAGGTAACCGCTCTGCATCCTTGATGTCAATATCTGGAATAAATTAAATTCACTTGTAAAATTTACACTTGTAGTATTCTATGTGTAGCTGCAATGTTGCATTTTTTTAACGTTAGTAAGTTTTTGCTTTTTACAAGTAGATGGATGCACTAAACTGAAATATTAAAATTAGAAAGTAGAAAATAATGTGCCACAGTTGTTGCACAGTATTGTATTCAATATTTCAATCTGTGAGCCTACTACTTTACAATTTAAACACACAGTTTTACAAAATTTATAACAACAGTAATCACTGCTGTCTGCATTACAATAATATATCATTTTCGCAAGCCATTTAAGGATATATCATTGACTAAAAGTTTTAAAATCATCAAACAATGACATTCACTACATAGATGATGTACCTGTACTTGCTCTGGATATTTTTTCAAATATAATTTTCATAGTTTCATTTTAAAACTAACAGTATGAATACTATTTTTAATTTCTTCAATTGATCAGTACCAGACACCACTATTGTAAATATTACCTTGTACACTTTTCAGATTTGCTTGTTGGATTTCAGCATGTTTTGCCCAGATTATTTTACCACTACTGTCCATTGACATTGCTGGCTCTTCACGGCCAAGCTGTGATAAATACAATCCACATTAGATGATTAATTATGGGATACTTTCAATTATACAGTTTACAAGTTTAATTAATTGGGAGTTGCATTCTCACTACTGTTTACTGATATGTAGTAATTGGGGTTTAACACATGATGATGAAGTGTTGTTTACCTATATATGAAATAAAAGGGGAAATGGTATGAACTAGAACTTGTAGAAAAAAAATATAAGAACTGTACAAAATAGACAAGTCTCAATCTATTGAATATAGTGAACTTAGTGAAAAAATCCGTCCATGTGAACCAAAAGCAAACAAAGGTTCTGAGTGTGAGCGATAAATCATCCTTCCTCTGAAGCTTTGAGAAATGTCACTTTGAAAAAACTTTTAACTAAACAGGAATGTAAGCACAACTTCTTTATCCACAGATATGTAAATTTTTACGAGTATCTATATACAAATATATTAAAATACACAAAAAAAAAAGTGTTGTTTACCTTAATCATAATGCTGCCTTCATCATATCCCAAAGCCACATTATTAGAGCCTCTTAAACACGCTATACTCCACACACGCTCCAAGCCATAATTCAACGTAGTCTCCAGTCGGTACGTGTTTGCATGCCAGATTCTTATAGTACCTAATATAGACATAAATATGATTTATAAAACATGCAAAACAACAAAAATCAAATCTAGTCATCATTTATACTGACTAATAAGTTTGAATATATTTGAGTTATTGATACCAACATAAAAGTTTGCAACAGACATTAGGAACCTTTCGTCAAAAAGACCAAAGTAGTCAGAGAGAAGACTAACCTAACCTGGAGTATGAGCTCTTTTAAGGTACAAATTGAAATCACAGTACAATTACAACTCATTCTGAGCATTACTGTCTTTCTGTTCCCTTCAAACTAAAAAACACTTACCATCTTCAGATCCTGTTAACAGTATAGGCAGTTCAGGATGGAACGCAACACAAGCAACATTCTGGGAATGACCTTCCAAAGTTTGCACACAGGTTTTATTCTGAAATACATACAAACATTTAAAATAAAAAATCAGTAAAATATTGAGAAATTATCTGGATGTGATTGGTTACCTAAATCACTGTAGTACACATTGCCTACTGAAAGCATCCATGAAGACAAGCAGCCTCTCGGCTGAGATAGCTCTGCTGTTAGCAATGCACATTTCAATTAAAGAATAAAGATATCATGAAATGAACAAATCTGAGAGAGATCCACATGTAGTACCTATATATGTAATATCAAAGCAATTGGACTTGAGGTTTTTAACAAGAAGTCGAATATATCACTTTTTACCAAAAATGACAAAAATATTCACCAAAATTAGAGAATTGAAGATATCATTACAAAATGAACAAATCTGAGAAAGGTCCACATGTAGTACCTATATATGTAATATCAAAG